TTGAGCAGGCGATTAAATGTAATGAGAGATTTTACAAATAGCACGCCGTTATACAGAAGACGTTATATTTTTGAACGGTGACGCGTTCGTGACCAGTAAGAAAGGGAGAGAGTCGGCTTCGAAGAAGGCTCGAGAGGCTCTCCACCCTCGTCTCTCGAGATACCCCAATTATCAGGCAACAAGATCCCCGAGTTTTGGACAAGTCCTTTGTCCTGTCATTTATCAAATAGACAAGCGCAAGTAACTCTATTTTCACGCGATACTTCGATGACGTGCGAGAAGCCTTCGGCCAAACCGAAACGAATTTCTCCTCCTGAGAATCGTCGTGAAGGAAGAGAATCGTTAGGATTTCATTAATATCGAGAGGCAATGTGGAGAGAGATGCGCTCCGGTCTCCGCGCAATTTCGCCCAATCTTTTCTTTTCCTTTTCAACAGACCGTTTTTCGATCGCGTCGATATCGTATCTGTACCGACGTTAATATTGCAGAACGTCGCGAAACTGCCGGCACTCGTAATTGTTTCTCGGTTTCTCTTCCGCAAATCCGAACGACGATCGCGGCGATATTCTCCAACGCGAGAGAGAACGGTCTCTCTCGCCGAGGAGACCGCAGATGTAAGTCGCCGTTATCAGACCGAGTGAATTAATTGAGTTTGCGAAAGTTGGACGAGAGCTTTGCGCAATATTGTCAACGATATAAATTGATTCAATTTATAGGAGATGCGAAGAAACGACACTGAGACGGCTTCCTATTGTACGACACGATTGTGCCGAGCCCTTTTCTGTCGGACACGTTTGAGGGACACGTTTCTCCTTCGGCTCGTTATTACATTCTGTACACGCGACGTCAGCCGAGAATTTTTACGCGATACGCTCGAAACCGCCGTCGCTTCTTTTACCCGCGGTCACTTTGATCAAATTGAAGGGTCGCGAATTTTTCGTGATCAAATTCCCAGAGTATCCGTTTTTTCGATTTTACAATCGGAAATGACGAGCTTTTCGCGAATCGAGCTTCAATTGTGTAAACGAATAATATCAAATCTACATCTTCACACAATCGGTATCAAGTGGATTTTAATTTAACGTGAATCAATTCGCACGATTTAGTTATACCCCCTCCTCTCTCTCTCTCTCTCTCTCTCTCTCTCTCTCTCTCTAACGTTAAGAGATTCAAGGAGAATAGTCGTTGATCAAATTTTTCCGCGATAATCTGCATATTTTTGCACTCAATGAAAGATAAATGTTCGTTTAAATAACAGCTCAATTAAATAAGAGAGATAAATAAGAAATGAGCATCCTTTAGAACTTTTATTAATATTATGCGTAAAATGTGAACGTTCCCTGCGACGCTGCTAATAATTATGTATACACACTGAAGCTAAGGCGTGCAGAAGCTGCATATTTTTCGTTTACATTACTCGCGCTTATATCCTGCTTCTCTTCTCTCTCACCCTCTCATCCTATCTTTCTCTTTTTCTTTCTCTGACATGCCATGACGGTTGGTGCGTTAAGGCGGGCAGATTTTAATATGGCTGATGATGGTTTTTCGACACGTGAAAAGCTCCAGTCAATATATTACTGGGAAATTTAAATTTATATACAACGAATCAATGTTGTTAGTTTTCTGGTGAATTGACTGTATGCGCTGTTATGAATCCTGAAAATGAATAAATTCCCTCTGAGAGATTTCCCGATGCGCGTTTCACCGATAATTTTTTGGAAAATATGGGAAATATCGAATAAATTGAGAGGGAAGGAGGGAGGATGAAAGAGAGAGAGAGAGAGAGAGAGAGAGAGAGAGAGAAAAAGAAAAAGAGAAAGAAAGAGAGAGACGCGATATTACATCCATAACATTTCACGAACTAATAGAGAAATACTTCTAGTAGGTCACGCACAAGGCGACATTGAACCAGAAATACGTGGCAGATAAATAGAGAGTGAGAGAGAGAGAGAGAGAGAGAGAGAGAGAGAGAGAGAGAGAGAGAGAGAGAGAGAGAGAGAGAGGGAGAAAGAGGAGTGGAGGAGAAGATGGGAGGAAGGGAAGTGAATTTCTAATTAGAGTGACTGTCCTTTTAAGTGAGATTTACTGCGAATGCCGCGTATTAATTAGCTGCCACCGGCACTGATTAAACGTATTGTTTGCCGATTTGCCATTGTCGAGGGATTCCATTTGGTATAACAAAGATGATAAGGCGCGCGGATACGTGTTACTTGCAATTTCCACGTATAACGTTGCTGCCGCGACCGTATGACGTTCTCCCGCATTCTGCGTCCCGATAATTCACATTGCATCCATACAAGATGTTAATTCCATCGAAATGCAACCAATGCAAATACGTTCGAGCATTAAACGAGGTGTATGTTTCGTTCTCATGCGTAGGATAAAATTAAATTTGCAAGAACGATATGTAGCGTCAGCGGTACGTTTCATCCTTTGAAAAATATGAAACATATATTTACGCGATATTAAATGGGAGGGAGTGAGAGAATGAGATAGAGATACAGACAGACAGATGGACAGAGAGAGAGAGACAGAGAGAGAGAGAGGGAAAGGGAAAATTTACGTTTTCATTTGTTATTCGATATCGCACGTGCCGTATTGATTGCGAGTTATGGGCTTTTGTCGGGAAATTGAAATACACTCTGTGTAACAGTCGAGGTTTAATAAATTCTACACGGGTTTTTGCGAGAGATTTCTAGAGAGAGGAAGAGAGAGAGAGAGAGAGAGAGAGGGAGAGATAAAGGGAATAATCAACTGCGCGGGCGATGGAACTTTAAGAAGTAATATATACTGTGCTCGATATTGTCGTTTATTCTTCCAACCTTTTCGATCTACGCGGACGAAGGAAAAATGCCCGTCGATTATCAACGATAATGGCGCGAGACGGTACCGACGACACGTGTGTTCCTTCGCGAGGGACAAATTAATAATCGCGATGGATTAATCGTGCCTTTCTGAAGAATTGGGAAGGACAAAACGTAAGCACAATGTAAATCTGTCCATTATTTTCCAACAACATGGAACGCTGCTAGTCGTGTAGCGTGAGAGTCAATGACGGAGAAGACGAAAAGCCGGAATAAGGTGAACGGTGAAGAGATGGATACACGGCGATGCTGATTTCCGAGGCGACGCGGTTTCACGCGCAATATCCTTGACAGTCCGCAAGCGGCCGCTAAAGCAGCTGTATAATGAAAAGTGGCCGAGACGCCTCGGACGGAATTCCCCGGGTTCTTTTTCTCGTTCAAGCAGCCGTGTGCCGATGGAAATTGCACGCCGGCTAAAATTAGCTTCGTAAAGCTAAAGCGAAAAGATACACGAGTGAACCGGTCCTCCGTGATTAAACTGTCCTTCTCTTTCGCTCCTTTCCCCATCGTCAGCGTCGCGCTCCGATTCCCAAGATCCGATTGTGTAAATCGTCGGAATACCTTCTCTTTCGTTTTATCCCTCCCCCCCTCTCTCTCTCCTTCTCCCGAGCGCGCGGTTATCTTACACAAACGAATTGTACGCGGCATACGCCAATTACGCCCAGCAGCCGCGGCAATCCGTAAACGCTCTCCCGCGAATGAAACTCACCGTCGGCAAGAAAAAGCACCGGTCGCGCGGCGATCTATTTGCGGTCGACCAATTGCGATATCTCTCACATCTGAAGGAGAGATCTCGGTTTACCTACGGGGCGCGAGATGAGAATCATGCGATGACGAATGGCCGAATTTGAAACGGAAGATCCTCAGCAGGAGGGCAGGAGGGGAGGAGGGAAGAGCGCACGAGGGAAAAGGGTGGATGGTATAGTTCGGTCCCGGATGGCAGATTCGGGTTATACGAGCGTATACGAGACCGAATCTCGACCGAGTTACACGAAAGGCATGTATACGTAATACACGTTGGCCAGATGAAAGGAAATTGAATAGCGCTTTCACTTGACACACAGAAGCGGCGAAACCGGAGCGCTGTCAGCGCTTACAAACCGACCGTTTGGTTAAAGGGCTAATCTTGCCGTGCGGGGAGATCAGGCACGCACGATATCGCATTCGTATCGAGACGAGAGCGTGATATCATCGCGGTCATGCCGATGGCAATGCGATCGCCGCTCGCATGTGTCGCGAATGATAGCCGTGAATTATTTCGTTACCTCGATATATCGGCGACGTTCCACGCTGAAAATCACCGAGCGCGCGCGACTCCATTCGTGTTTCGCTCGATGTTTTGATATCGGCTCGGCCGAATTAACCCGTGAAACTACAAAACTAACTCGAGACGCTCGGAATAACATGCCTAATGCCTCTCGTGAGGCTTCCTGTGTGCAAATTCCATTCGAACGGAAAAGTTTGATGCGGACTACTCGATGTGCGAGAATTAGAGTTCGCATTTAGTATTTGCCGGTGTCGCACAGCATTAGACGACCGAACGGCCGTTGCGTTAATAAAGCCAGAGAGAAGCGAGAGAAATGAAAAACAATGTAATGCAATACTGATGTGCTCGAATTTACGCGACGTTCTCATTACGACACATGAACGCGATGATGCAATTGGAACGTCTGGAGTGCGACGCGCGTTATCTTGAATAATTACGCGATGTTTGGTGAAAAAAAAACAATTATCCGAGAGGTAGGTGGTCCAATTATTTTCGCACAACCGAGGCGGTTGGAGCGCGGCGGTCGACGTTTTTAATAATTTTTCGTGGGAATTTTTTTTTGCGGAGAACCGCAAAAAATTATTCTAATGTAATTACCGTCACGCTTGAAAAACTCGGTCGTTCCGATGAATTGCAAACTTAATTAATAATTGGCCTGATGTAGAGCGAAATATGTTGCGCAAATTGCATGCATCGTTAAAAATTTCACGTTATTAAACTTTTAAAACTACCGGGCGCGCGCGCGATAACATCGCGATAAAATTGCGATATTTTCGCACTTTCGCTGTTTCGTTTTGTGCGAACATGACATTTTTAATGCTCGTGCGGCGTTCCGTTAAAAAAATGTACTTTTATTTGGCGTGTTGCAGAGATCAACATGTCCACTACGGGGACGTGCGGTGGTGACACAAGCCCGACGCGTCGGCCAAGGTAAGAGAAGTTTGACACGATTGTGCGCGTCAAAAGAAACTTTTGACGCCAGATTAATTATGCACTTTCCGCAACTGAAATAGTTTCAATTATTCTCATTTCACTGGGGGAAAACGAAAGAAACCCGGTTAATTCGTTTCGCAGTTAGTTTTCGTCGGCGAGCACGCGGCCGTGCCCTGCTACGGTAATGAGGAAAGGAGGGATAGATAGAGAGAGAACGCAAGAGAGAACGAGAGAAGAAGGGGCGCGCGCGCGCGCGAGAGAGAAAGAGAGAGAGAGAGAGAGAGAGAGAATCTCGTGGAAAGTATAACTCGTCCGCGGCCGTCGGTAATTAATTTAGTATAAACCCAGCGGGATATTTAATCAGACGGAGAGTCGGTTCTCTCCTCTTTCTCTCTTCCACTTAAATAACAATCCGCTGTACATTAATTATACTAATACGATTGTCCGACGCTTAGTACGCGGGTACCGGCGGGTTGTTACGAGCGTACGGACGATGTATGGGATAATATTTTCGCCGGGGATGCAAACTTCGCGGTCGGCGCGCGGTAAACGAAATGTGCCGCGCGTTATATCGCGTGACCAGCAGGAAAATGTGTCTCACACTTACGACACTTAACCCGAATTGATCGTTTGGACCTGTGGCAATTAAAATGTTTACGCGTAGGTTTTCATGCGCAAGCGGGGAAAGTGTTATTAAAATGTTTGCGTCGTTACGGGAGGAAAACATGGCGTAGTGTTTACGTGCGCGCGAGTCGTCGGGATTTTATTAAATTTCTCGACGTCACGTAAAGCTGCGATATTTATAAAATATCGACGTCGCGCGATGGCCAATACATCGGCGGCGGCGATGTAATGATTTAAAAGTCAAGGCGTCAGCCAATAGCAAAGTGCTCTCGTTGCTATATCACTGCAAAATAATAATAAATATCACTGAAAAAAGAGCAGCCAAGTCGAAATATGTTTAATACATGAAATACCTAGCTACCTAATGAGCTTATCCGCTTTGAGCGGTTCAAGCTCGCTGATCGCCCGAGGATATGCTGCAGCCTTTGAAAATGTTCGGATTGTGAGCGCAGCGCGATTGCGATCGATCCAAGTAGCAATTACATCCGCTTCATCGTTAAATATTTGGGATGACTATGTCAGATGAGACGGCTCCCTTAATGAAAAGCAACCGAAGTATTTTGATACGCGAGCGCGAAACGTTACGCTTGCTTTCGTCCGTAAATTAACTTTACGAGTAATGCACGACGATTACGATTGATTAGTTAATCGAATTTGAAAGTCGTATCGGCAGACAATGGTGAATGAATTAGTTTGCACTTGTACGAAATTTTATTCTTTAGTGGAATATAAGTTTATATAATATCATCACATAACAAATGCCAAACATAAAAAGGAAGTTTCTTGATGAGCTTTTCGAGACGTGTTATTCGTTATTGCTTGTATGATATCAAAACATCGTTTTGCTGTTTTTCCTTTATGCTTTCTCTGTTTTGGTCCAAAAATTGGTCCACCAATTTTTTATCTGAAAAAGTAACATTATTTCTTTACTATTAATATCGAGCATAATTGTGTATTCTTATAGTATTCATTTTCGTCACCCTACTAATTACCATTTCCCATAGTTCCAATGCTTTCTGAAACTAAATAAGAACATAAATTATTTTATTACATTTACGAATTTATGTATGAATTGTATGTAATATAGAGCGAGAATGTCGAAGTTTTTGATCATTTTTATTATATTCTTAGAAGAGAAAGAGGGAAAAAGAAAGAATGTGAATATATTCAATTTGAAGAGATGTGACAAATAATGAAGTGTAATTGTAATTATTAACATACAATACGTATATAATTACGACATATAAGTACTACGACATATAAGGTTTGCGATAACTTTAAAAGTGAAGACGTAATTATAATATTAATGTGCAAATTATACATACCACTTGCTCTTTTTCGGCCATTGCTGTTGCTTCCACTTGAGTGGACATGATCGCCATAACAAAGATTATGGCAAACACCAATATATATAAACGTGCCATTTTTTCTTACAATTAGTATTGCGTGTATTGTATGTTTAATGTTCACGGCGTATGACGGCGCATAGCACTGCTTATATACGGTTGAACCGACCTATCTAAGAGATACGAGTTTTTATTACTATTTTATTCTATTATAAACTTGTCTTTATCTTCGGCGGAAAACACGGAAATGCAACATTTTAAAAAGATTAGATGTCGATACTGGAGAATATTTATGTCTATAAAATCTGAATATTTAAATGCGCAATAATTTGCGCAACATAAAATACAGCGGACACTTTAAAGCAACACGAGAATTTTATCAGCTGTAGATAAAATTGCCTTCGTGCACTTCGTGCGACTCCCAGAATGTAAAGATAAAATGTTTTCCGCAAGAAAAGAATGAATACCGATAAATAACAAAATGCATATTTCTTGCATGGACGTACAATGTTATTGTAGTGCTATCGCGTCGCACGTAATTAAAATATTAAGGAATTATCCTTTTAAATCTCAAGCGAATATAATATGTGACTATTTTAATATGTTAACTTTCAGCTAATCTAATTCCATTGTGAATACATTCGGTCATATTGGGCTGTTCGGAAAGTAATTTCGGTTTTTTTCAAATAAATGGTGTTAGTTGTCTTCTTAAGCAGTTAATCTCATTCTAAACCAGAAAATCATTTTGCATTTTTACAATACATATTCCAAGCTTCATTTGAAAAAAAGTTGTTTCAGAATCGAATTGTTTTTGTTTGGCGTCGTATCAAAAATGGAAAACCAATGTGAGCATTTTCGTCATATTTTGCTTTTTTTTTATTACTGTAAAGGCAAAAAAGCAGCGCAAGTAAGAAAAAATTGTATGCCGTGTATGGAGAGGATATATTTACTGAATGTCAGTATCAGATTTGGTTTTCAAAATTTTGTTCTGGGCATTTTGATCTCAAAGATGTACCACGTTCTGGAAGGCCAGTTGAGGCTGATGAAGACCAAATAAAGGCATTGGTGGACGCAAATCGTTATTTAACAACACGAGAAATTACTGAGAGATTGAATTTATCGAATTCGACCGTATATGAGCATTTGAAACAACTTAGTTTTGTTTTAAATCTCGATATTTGGGTTTCATATGTTCTCAAAGAAAGAGATTTGATTCATTGCATTACTATTTGCGATTTACTGTTGAAATATAACTGAAGGAAAACTATCCATTTCTGAAGCGACTCATAACTGGAGATGAAAAATGAATTGTGTATAACAATATTAAACGCAAAAGATCATGGTGCAGACGTGATGAACCAGCTCAAAGTACATCGAAAGTTGATATCCATCAAAAGAAGGTGATGCTATCTGTTTGGTGGGATTGCAAAGGAATTATTTTTTTGAGCTGCTACCAAACAACCAAACGATTGATTCGAATGTGTATTGTCATCAATTGGACAAATTGAATGATTCCATCAAGTAGAAGAGACCAGAATTGGCGAACAGGAAAGGTGTTATGTTTCATCATGACAACGCCAGGCCTCATACAGGTTTAAAGGCTCGCCAGAAGCTGTTAGCGTTTGAATGGGACGCTACGGCATCCACCATGTTCACCTGATTTGGCATCATCCGATTATCACTTGTTTCGGTCACTGCAAAATTCTTTAAAAATTTGTAAAAATTTCGATTCAAATGAAGATGTGAAAAACCACTTAATTCAGTTTTTTGCCAATAAGGACCAGAAATTCTACAAACGTGAAATCATATTATTACCTCAAAGATGACAAAAGATGTTAGAACAAAATGGTCAACACTTAACGGAATAAAACTTTTCTTTCTATTAAAAATATTATCTTTTATTTTCATGTAAAAAACCGAAATTACTTTTCGAACAATCCAATATATTAGATTTCGTTTTCTCTTTGAAATATCTCAGTGCTTGCTCCTCGTGAATCTTTTTTACTTTATGACATATACTATCTTGTAACGAATTTTTATTACAAGAAGACTTAATACGATTCGACTTCTGGTGCGATAGGAGCCGTCTCAAACTTAGCAGTAAGAAATACTATATTGTTTATTTTAGTCATTAGATACGTTTATCTCCTTTTAATCGTTATTTCGAAAATAAGCTTCTTGCACCTGTGCACTAGGTCCGGGAATTGGGTGTTGTATTTAATACAAATTTATCTTTTAAAAACCATATATATAATATACAAAAATATACTATAATATAATATATAATATAATAAGTTGCTATATTTTTTGTGTATAAAATGCTGGATTTTATTTATCGTTGGGGGCGATTAAAATTCCTTTGACGTTAATAATTCATATATTTCATATATATATATATATATATTTCATACATATATATATATATATATATATATATATATATATATATATAATGCAGGGTGTCCCATTTTAAAGGATCCACTCAAATATCTCAGAAACACTGCGTTAAATCGAAAAATGTTTCAGACAAAAGTTGTTTGGCTTGAAGGGGGACATAAGATAGCGATAGCATTTTGCTTATACATATAATTTAATAATTTTGAGATTTCCAAAGATCGATAAGTTAACAAAAGTTAGGGCACTATTATAGTAATATATTCTTGATAGTAAATAAAGTAAAAAAGTCTAATATTATTTTTTCTTTCAACGAATAGTTAGCGAGATATCGTAAGTTAAATGTTGAAAACGTTACCAAGTTTTTCTTAAATATCTCAAAAAATATTAAGCACATAAAAAAATGCTTAAGACAAAAGTTGTTCAAATTAATTGGCAGAAAAAAGTGATATAATAGAAAATTTGGATTTCCATTTAAGAAAATTGATGATCAGTGAATATCTCGAAAGTGGCGCCATCTATAAGCAAAATGCTATCGCTGTCTTATGCCCCCCTTCAAGCCAAATAACTTTTGTCTGAAACATTTTTCGATTTAACGCAGTGTGTCTGAGATATTTGAGTGGGTCTTTTAAAATGGGACACCCTGTATATATATATATTTTTTTTTTCTTTTCAGGATTTGCATAAAGGGATAATAATAAAAATAACTTACAGACAGAAAATTTTATTTTTTTATAGAATGTCTTCAAACATGACTGTGACAATCATAATTAATTAATTATCTTTTAATTACGGACGATTTAAACTACTAGTTTAAAATTATACGCAAATTATACGCATATATGTATAGCACGTAGCGATTAAATCAATATATTATGATTCGATATTTTCTTCCTGAGTATATAAATGAATATTAGTCTGTTGATACACGATCATTTCTTTTTGTTACAAGGATTGCCAAGGCTATGATTAGTATATGTAGTAAAACGCATTTTTCACAACGAAAATGTTATTTTGTTAATTTTGGAAGTTGTAATTTGCATTAAAGGATGATAATAAAAGTAATAAGACCTTTCATTTATGGGAAATTTTATTCCTTAATAAAATGCTGGTTTAAATTACATTATCGTAACAGTTGTCGAAAGTAAAATCCAACAATGTAGTTTCTAATAATATAAGTACGCTATTCATTTTTCTCTTATGTTCGGAGTCATCCATTTTTTGTTTTTTATGTTTATGTGCCGTCGACTGTTTTGATTATTGGAAATAACTTTGTATTTGAGATATAATGGACGGTATCATTGACGCCTATTAAGAGAGAAATATTGTTTTATTGATAATATCTTACATAGATAATATCTATTGATAGATATTATCTAAGATAATATATATAATATCTATTACATACTATTTCTATGCACTTACCAGTGTTGAAAACAATGTGCCCCACTGAACATAAAAAGAAATAGTAAGGATTTCAATGCGTATTTAAGGAAGTATATACAACAAAAGCATGCTTTCTCGCCTTTAAAGATTTTTGTAATATCTTGAGAGAGGTATACGTATTTATACAAAGTTTTATATTTGACACAGTATGTAATGAAATTTAAACAAAGTACAATCCTAATCATTAGTTCAGATTGCACGTAATTACGACATACACGGACAAATTTAAAATAAATTTGACAATGTGGATGTAATTAACAATAAAATTAATATTGTTATACAAGTTATACATACGACGGTTTTTGGTTCAGCTTTCGCCTCAGCTTCAGCTTCCGCATCGGCATCAGCATTGGCTTCTGCTTCCGCTTTAGTATACATGATTGTTGTCATGAAAATCACGGCAAAACTTAATGATAAAATTGAAAATTTCATCTTTCCGTTCTTTTGTATAGCTGATATCTCGTGAGTTTACTAAGCGATTGATGTTTATTTTCAACGTGTAGCGCTGCTTATATACATTTGTGGACATACAAAAGATATCTTTTAGATTTTATTACAATTAAATTTTATTATGAAAACGTTTCCAACCTTGTGCAATAGATACATTTATATGGAATTTGAAAGATCAGATATCGATATTAAAAAACATTCGTATTGCAAAATTTCACGGAAGTTATGAGTAGTTGACGACATAAAACATATACCGAAAACTTTCTTTGCAACTATAAAATTTTTTATGTTTTTTTTTCGTGATTCTTAGAATTTAGATTCGAAGGTCTTGTGAGACAGATATGGATAGTAAATATATAAAAGTAAATATTTTATTACGATAAAATTATTTCTTTATTAATGTTAAGAATAGATACATTCGTATATTACTATATTACTATATTGCTGTATATTGATATACATTTTGAAGCAGTTGTTAACTGAACTGTATTAGACTGTTCTTATTTTATCTATAATTTATTACATTTAGGACTACATATGATCATCATATAGCAGATTGTTTTAATATCTCACAAAATTACACGCATTAAAAAATTACACACGTGGCACGTAACATACAAATAAATATTATGAATTGATATTTCTTTCCCGAGTATATTAATAAATATACGTAATGGTACACGATCATTTTTTTTTGCTACCAGGATTGCCAGGGCTGCGATTAGCGTTTGTAATAAAATACACTTACCACAACGAAAAGGATATTTTAATAATTTTGGAAGTTGTAATTTGTATTAAAGGATAATAATAATAGTAACAATGCCTTTCATTTGTGGTAAATTTTATTCCTTAATAAAATGCTAGTTTAAATTATATTATCATAACAGTTGTCGAAAATAAACTCAAACAATGTAGTTTCTAACAATATAAGTATACTATTCACTTTCTTCTTATATTTGGAGCCATCCATTTTTCGTTTCTTATATTTATGTGCCGTTAAGCATTTTGACTATTAATAAAATCCATTAGATATTGTGCAAGGCCCGGTAGCGTATACACCTAAGATAGAAATATTATTTCATTAACAATATTTTATTATATATATATATATATAGATATCTGTTTATATATTATTTCTATATACTCACTATTACTTTAAACATTTTGCCACTAAACATAAAAAGAAATAGAAAGGATTTCATTACATATTTAAAAAAGTATATATATATATATATATATACTTAAATTATATATATTCAAATTATATATATATATATATATATATATATATATATATATATATATATAATTTGAACAAAAACGCGTTTCCTCACCTGATTTTAAAGATTTTTGTAATACCTTGAGGAAGGTATATTTATACAAAGTTTTATATTTGACACAGTATGTGATAAATTTAAACAAAATACTATCTTACTCATTAGTTCAGATCGCAAGTAATTATAACATATACAGAGAAATTTATAATAAATTTAACAAAGTGCATGTAATTAACAATAAAACTGATATTGTTATACATACCAATGGCAGGGCTTTAGCTTCAGCTTCCGCATCGGCATCAGCATTGGCATCTGCTTCCGCTTTAGTATATATGATTGTTGTCATGAAAATTATAGCAAAAGTTAATGATAAAACCGAGAATTTCATCTTTTCGTTTTCTTTTGTAGCTGATATCGCGTGAACTGACCAAGCGATTGATACTTGCTTTCATCGTATAGCGTTGTTTATATACATTTGTCCGTAAAAGAAATATCTTTTAAATTTTATTACAATTAAATTTTATTATGAAAGCGTTTCCAACTTTGTGCAATAAATATATTTATGTGACATTTGAGAGATTGCATGTTGATGTTAAGAAACATTCGTATTGCAAAATTTCACCGAATGGTTATGAGAAGTTGGCTACATAAAACATACCGAAAGATTTTTTTGATACGATACGAATTTTCCAACTATAGATACAATTTTTTACGTGTATCGTTTTTCGTGATTGTTAGAATTTAAACCCGAATGTCTTCCGAGACAGATATTGTTAGTAAATATATACAGGGTGTCCCATTTAACCTGACAAATCGTAATATCTGGAAAACTACATGTCGGATCAAAAAAAGTGGGTAATGAAATTTGTTCGCCTCGAAGGGGGACATCCAATGATATCAAACTCGACCTCCCACCTCACTCCCGGGGGGTGGGGGTGGGGGGCAACTTTGAAATCTTAAATGGGAATCCACATTTTTTATTGCAGATTCGGATTCTACGCCACAAAATACGTAAGTTTCGTCCGAAACTTTTTTTTTTATTCGTGATTGATGGCGCTGTAATCGCAAAAAATTAGATTTTTTGTAATTCTCCAGAAATGATAATTGGATTGAAAAATAAAAAAATACTTGTTCAATATTTTTAAAAATATTTTTAAGAAACATAATAACAGTTATTCCTCCCTCTATCCCCTCGGGGTAGGGTGGGTGGTAACGTTCAAACAATTTTTTTCATTTTATTTCATTTCAAAAAAATTGTTTCCATAAAAACTTCACGTAAAATCTAATTCTGCAATGAAAAATGTGGGTTCTCATTTGAGATTTGAACGTTACTACTCATCCTACCCCAAGGGGATGGGGGGAATAACTGTTATTATGTTTTTTAAAAATATTTTTAAAAATATTGAACAGGTATTTTTTTATTTTTCAATCCAATGATCATTTCTGGAGAATTGCAGAAAATCTAATTTTTTGCGATTACAGCGCCATCTATCACGAATAAAAAAAAAAGTTTCGGACGAAACTTACGTATTTTGTGGCGTAGAATCCGAATCTGTAATAAAAAATGGGGGTTCCCATTTAAGATTTCAAAGTTGCCCCCCACCCCCACCCCCCGGGAGTAAGGTGGGAGGTCGAGTTTGATATCATTGGATGTCCCCCTTCAAGACGAACAAATTTCATTACCCACTTTTTTTATCCGACATGTAGTTTTCCAGATATTACGATTTGTCAGGTTAAATGGGACACCCTGTACAAGTAAATATTTTATTACGATAAAATTATTTCTTTATTAATGAGGAATGATATTAGAGGCAGATATATATTCGCATATTGTTGCTACATTGTTACTCACAAATGTTTTGAAGTAGCTATTAACTGAAGTATTAAACCTTTTTCCACTTTATCTATAATTTATTACATTTAGGACCACATATGATCATCATGTGACAATCTCAATTATCTTTTAATTATTGATGATCTAAATTATTGTTTTAATATCTTACCAAATTACACACATTATATGTAGGAAGTAACAAACAAATAAATATGGTGAATTGATATTTTCTTCTTGAGTATATTAATAAATATTAGTCTTTTACTGCACGATCATTTCTTTTTGCTACAAAGATTGCAAAGTTTGCGATTAGCATCAGTAACAAAGTGTGTTTTTCGCGGTGCAAATGTTATTTTGATAAGTTTGGAAATTGTAATTTGCATTAAAGGATAATAAAAGTACAAAGTGGAAAACCTACACCTGTGGGAAATTTTATCCTTCAATACAATGTTGATTTAGACTAACAATTGATTGTCATAACAATTATCGAAAATAAACATAAATAAACATAAATAAAAAATTCTAAAGATACAAATATATTACACACTTTCTTCTGTATATTGTCGCAGTTATCTCGTTTTCATGTCGTTTTTCATGTCGTTGTGCCGTTGACTGTTTTCACTGTTCTTACTGATTACGTAGCTATCTTTTTGTCCTAGAAACGGATATTGTGCGTTTACTACGATTGATTATTCAATTACTTTCAATGTATAGCGTTGCCTATATATTGTCTAGAGTCCATATAAGAAACATTTTTTTAAATTTGTTCAAATTAAATTTTATTATCGAAGCGTTTCGGTCTTGTGCAATGAACATGTTTATGCAACATTTGAGGGATTAAATATAGATATTGCAAAACGTTTGTGTCATAAAATTTTATGGACTAGTCATGATTATTTGGTGACATAAAAAATACCGAAATAATTCCTAGACGCGACAAGAATTTTTTATCTATAGATATAATGTGTTACACGTGTCGTCGTAATTCTCTAGAAATTAAATGCCAATAAATAACAAAGCAGATATTTCCTATGTAAACATATGGAACATAACGCATCTAATATTAATGCATTATGCGTAGTCCACCTAAACATAAAAAGAAATATAAATGACTTCGCTACATTTAATAAACTATGTACATATGTTGTAAATTCAGGCACTCGCGTATGGCCGTTCAACCGACTTCAATAATTATCAAAAATTATGTAATAGCTTAAGGAAACGCGCTAAATTTGTCGTAGATTCAATATTGAGGTCTGTATAATTAATATGATACGCTATAATCTTAACCGAGTCGCATCTTAGGTCGCATGTAAAAAGAATGTTCATGCTTAGGAATTTACAATACTACTGTGATCAAAAAATACGATGAATTTGTTTATAAAATGAAAAATCTTTATTTATTCTTCCAAATCAATTTCATCGCCTTCAAAGTACTCCCCGTCCGATACAATGCATTTATGCCAACGTTTTTTCCAATCCTCGAAACAGTCAGAGAAGTCTTTTTCCGGGATGGTCTTTAATACTTTCTTCGATTCGGCTTTTATCTCCTCAATCGAGTCGAAACGGTGTCCCCGGAGCGGTCTTTTGAGTTTGTTGAACAGCCAGAAGTCGCACGGTGCTAAAATCAAGCGAATACGGTGGTTGTGGAACGATATGGGTCGAATTTTTGGCGAAATGTTCTCGAAGAACCAACGCAGTGTGGGACGGTGCATTATCATGGTGCAAAAACCAAGAATTGTCTGCCCATAATTCTGGCCTTTTGAGGCGAATAACTTCACGCAAACGACGCATAATACTCAAATAATATTCCTTGTTAACAGTTTGATTTCCTTGACGTGGCTTTCATCGGTAGATGTCGATGGTCGTCGAACGCGTTTTTGTTCAAATTATATATATATATATATATATATATATATAATTTGAATATATATAATTTAAGTCGTCCGGGGCGCTGTTCGTCTTGAACTCGTTCTCGGCCTTCTTTGAAGTCTTTGTACCACTTGTAAACATTTTTCTGCGACATAGCCTTATCACCAAAGGCCTTTTGCAATATCCTCAACGTTTCCGCGGCCGAATATTCATTCCGCAAACAAAATTTAATGCAAATTCTTTGCTCAACAAAGTCAGACATAGTAAAAATCGAAAAATTCACTTTTGTATGTTTACAAAAACACATATAGCTCTGCAGCAATTGAATATATTGACATGAAACTCTGCATAGATGTCAAAGACAGTGTTACCAACCCACAAAAAAATAATTTCATGATTTTATAGTACTCACGAAGTTTAAATGAAAAATTCATCTTATTTTTTTATCACAGTAGTAGATTTGACAATTAAAAGATATGATTTAAAATAAGATTTACGTTGGTGCACATATCAAGATTTCTCATCTGCAATTTTTACTTCGGCATTAACTTCGATATCAGCTGGCACATCCGCACCTTTTGTAGTGGATATAATTGTAAAGATTATGGCAAAGGTCAACGATAACGGCGCTATTGTTCATTCGTCATAATAACTGTCGGGAATAAAATCAAACAAACAAAAATTTTTGACAATACAAATATGTTCATTCTTTACATTTTTCATGTAATTTCGGTTCATGTAAGTCAACGTTCTTTCATTTTTCACTTATTCTCAAGTAATCACGCTCGTTATTTTGCAAATTTTCTCCATTGTACTGGGTAGATGATGATATATAATATATGTATAACAAGTATATTTATATATATAATTATCTTTATATGATTACCTTTAATAATCTATATAATATGTTGTAGAAGGTATATTTAGTTTGTGATACGTATTTAGCGCGATGTGATATAAGACGCGGAAAAATCTTAATTGTACGTTTAGATTACACGTAATTATAGCATGAAAATAAGAAGATACAACCAAATCGACATTAAAGATACGATTAATGTTGTAATTAACATTAGTAATTAATATTAGTATTAGGTTCTATGCGTTCACGTACTCTGCATCATCTATTGTTTTCGTTTATACTTTAGTATACTTTAGTATACGTGACTTTTATAACAAAGATTATGACAAAAGATTATAACGATTATGCCGATCATATGTAGACTGAATAGTTTCAGTTTTTGAAGTAATTAATGAAACTGATATTGCATTCATTGCATGTTTGATACTGCCGGCGCGTAACCTCGCTTTTATATGCTTTCTATGGTCGAAGCAAGCGATATCTTCAATTTTTATTATATTCGTATTTCATTACAGCAGCTTCCTACCTCTTGTGCCAAAAATAAATATGTGCCATATTTAAATGATATTAGTTATTGGTATAGGGAAAGCTTCAAGTTTGCAAAATTTTGGTGAGCCCATGCAATAAATTATCGACATAAAAATGTAATATAAGATTCTTTTGAAGTGTCATTAATTTTTCAGCTGTGAGTAAAATTATCTATGTGCAACACCACAATTCTGTAAAAATGAAGTCTTCAAGTCTTTTGAAACAAATGTGGATATATACAAATAAATCACAAACTATAAATACTTTTGTGAAAATTTAACGCGTAACATTGAAATCTTAGAAATATTAGTGTTCATTAAATTTGACGATATGACTAATTTTAGTACGGATAATCTGAAATACGGATTATATGAACGTTGTGATTAGTGCTTGCTGTAAAGTGCGCAAGTTTTACCACACAAGTGTTAGGTCAACAATTATTCGTCGCATTCGTCGAATTTTTCGAGGTATCGCATTGGCAGGTAATAATAAAAATAACAAATTCGTAATTTGCAGGAAATTTTATTCTACTGTAAAATGGCTAACTCATATTTCTCCAATATTTTCCCTTACATAGAGGAAGTTATTTCATCAATTTTGGTATCGAATATGGTTATTTATATGTGTATTACTTCGTTGCATTCATCACTTCTTTCATAAAATCGATCTAAATATAGAAAGAAAGAGAAACAATATTAATATACATTTAAAAAATTATGCATATGCATTGTATGTAACAAGTACGCATCTGACTTTAACAACATTTATATAACATTTCAAGAAAGAAATACTTATAGTTTGATATTTGGAGCGATATAATAAATGTGTATGCAATGTGATATGATCTCTCAACCATTGGTTTAGATCGTATGTAATTACAACATGCAACAATAACAATCGATTTAACGGCGATGATGCAATTAGCATTATTACTGACATCGGTATGCAAATTACAAAATACGTACATCGAAATCGGTATTAGGTCCAGCGTTAGCATCAGCAAAAAATCCAGCGTTCGCTTAGCGCATGCAGGCACCGCCGTTGGACTCATGACAGGGTGCAGCATCAGCATCGGCCGAGGGTGCAGCATCAGCATCGGCCCAGGATCCAGCGTCAGCGTCAGCCCAGGGTCCAGCGTCAGCATCGGCCCAGGGTCCAGCGTCAGCATCGGCACAGGGTGCAGCGTCAGCGTCAGCCCAGGGTCCAGCGTCAGCATCGGCCCAGGGTCCAGCGTCAGCATCAGCCGAGGGTGCAGCGTCAGCATCGGCCCAGGGTCCAGCGTCAGCTAATGCTTTTGCTTGTACAATATTGTACATGGCCGCCAACATAAAAATGACGGCGAAAGTCAACGTTAGACCTGACAGTTTCATCTTTCTGTTTTTAGTAAAACTGAACTGGTGTTTACTGTACGGTTGATAGTGAATATATTTCGGTGCATAGCGATGCCTTATATACACTTTTTTGAATCCTCGCAAGAGGTACTTTCAGGTTTTATCGCAATTATATCTTTTTGTTATGGAAGTGTTTCTGTGCCTCATGCAGCAACACAGCGAATGTAACATTTGAGCGATTAGATGTCAACATTGAAAAATGTTACGCTGTAAAATTTCATAGGCT